TGAACGATATAGGTAGGTACATTGTTATTAACTTAATTAGGGTAACTCCTAAGCTGGCCTTTGCTAAAAACGTCCGCAATCTGATGGAGGTACGTTCGCCGAGGTCGACCCCTTCCAACTCTCCCATCCACGCTCGTCTTGTTTACTTGTTTCGTCTGTCTCCTTTCCTTCATCCTCTCTGTATGTCCAAACCATCTCCACACACCTTTCTCCATCCTCGACACTGCATCTTCTTTCAGTCCACAATGTTCCCTAAAATTAACTTCATAAACTTTACTTAAAGTTTTAAGTCAACTTCGCACTATACGTGCGCGCCCGCACGTGGTATTTTGTGGAAGAGCCACACTCAAGGGGCCAAAGAGCCGCATGTGGCTCGGGAGCCGTGGTTTGCCGACCACTGTGCCAGACTGAGGGTGGGGGGGGGGTGCACTGGGATCATCTGAGTGAACGGGGTACAGGAAGGAGTCCAGCCAGGGGCCCTCAGGCCAGACTCTAAAGCCAATCATGCTGCCGGGATGGCTTGGCTCAGTACTTGACGCGACCTATGAACCAGGAGGTCCAGGTTCGATTCCCGTCAGCGCACATGCCCAGATTGCGGGCTCGATTCCCCCAGTGGGGGAGGGGGGGCGTGCAGGAGGCAGCCGATCCATGGTTCTCTCTCATCACTGATGTTTCTATCTCTCTCTCTCCCTCTCCCTTCCTCTTTGAAATCAATGAAAATATATTTAGAAATAAATAAGTAATAAAGTCAATCACGTTGAAAAGACCCTTTCTCGGGCCACAGGGCGGGAGAGGAGGGCAGAGGGCAGAGGCACCTACTGTAGGACGACATGAGGAAGCCCGTGTTCACCTTCCTGGTGTCGCTGAAGTTGGGCTCGATTTCATTTCCCTTGGGGTCGAACTTCCGGCGATGGATGCGACTGGGCCGGACATACAGCACGTAGTAGCGCTCCTGGGGGCAGGCAGAGAGTCAGGGGGCTGCTCCACTCCCCCCCTCACCCCCAATACACACACACGCCCCGCAGGGGTCCATGCAGCCCTCCCCAAACTCACTCTCTACCCTGGAACCCCACCCTCAGCTCCAAAAATATACAAGCTGCGCAGATCCCTACTCCAATATTGATCCATTCATCCATCCATACGTACACTGTTCATTCATTCACGTTTTGTTTTAATATACTTTTATTGATTTCAGAGAGTGGAAGGGAGAGGGAGAGAGAGAGATAGAAATACCAATGATAGCCCTAGACCAGCCGTGGGCAAACTACGGCCCGTTTGAAATGAATAAAACTAAAAAAAAAACAGACCGTACCCTTTTATGTAATGATGTTTACTTTGAATTTATATTAGTTCACACAAACACTCCATCCATGCTTTTGTTCCGGCCCTCCGGTCCAGTTTAAGAACCCATTGTGGCCCTCGAGTCAAAAAGTTTGCCCACCCCTGCCCTAGACGGTTTGGATCAGTGGATAGAGCGTCGGCCTGCAGACCAAAGAGTCCTGGGTTCAATTCTGGACAAGGGCACGTACCTCAGTTGCAGGCTCCGCCCCGGCCCGGGCCCTGGTTAGGGCTCGTGCAGGAAGCAACCAATCGATGTGTTTGTGTCACATCTATATTTCTGTCTTTCCCTCTCTATTCCACTCTAAAAATCAATGGAAAAATATCCTTAAGTGAAGATTAAAATTAAATGAATAAATAAATCTCATTAAAAAATATAGCAACGATAAGAGAGAATCATTGATTGGCTGCCTCCTGCACACCCGCTAGTGGGGATGGAGCCTGCAACCCAGGCATGTGCCCTGACCGGGAATCGAACCGTGACCTCCTGGTTCATAGGTGGACGCTCAACCACTGAGCCACACGGGATGGGCCATTTGCGTGTTTCATAGAGTATCACCACACACAATGAACCAGGCTGGACGTTCATGAGAGGGTGGGCCCACGGCCTGACCCCAAGGTCCCCCACAGCCAAGACAGAAAGTATACACAGACAGCCCCAACCCGAGCGCCAAGGGCCCCAAATACCACGCGGCAGGCGTGGCAGCAGCCAAGACGCCCTGGACCCATCCGAGCCTCAGCTTCCCCTGTTGCACGGGGACAATGTGACGTCTGCTCTCAGGAATGTCGCACGGGGTCAGTGAGGTAACGCAGGAGCAGGCCCAGCAGAAAGCATGAAGACTCTAGTGCCAGCTGCAGCTGTTCTAATCAAAGCAGGCGGCAAAATGCTCCCGGTACGAGGAAGAGGGAACCGCCTCCGGGGAGAAACAGGGAAGGAAAGCGAGGCCCCGAGGTGGAGCAACCAGCAAGGCACCCGGCACTAAATCTGTCCCATCAGCCCGGCCGGCGTGGCCCAGTGGTTGAGCATCGACCTATGAACCAGGAGGTCAAGGTTCGATTCCCAGTCAGGGCACATGCCCGGGTTGCAGGCTCGATCCTCAGTGGGGGCCGTGCAGGAGGCAGCCGATCGATGATTCTCTCTCATCACTGATGTTTCTATCTCCCTCTCCCTTCCTCTCTGAAATCAATAAAAATATATTTTTTAAATCCTATATAATAAAAGCCTAATATGCTAAGTGTCCAATTGTTTGTTCAACCGCTGGGCCGGTCGCTATTATGCACACTGACCACCAGGGGGCAGATGCTCTGACTGGTAGGTTAGCTTGCTGCTGGGATCCAGCCGATCGGGGACTGGGCAAGATGGGCCGGACACGCCCTGGAGCCCTCCCTCCCTGGCTGGCCAACCTCCCGCGGTCCCTCCCTGGCCCCAATAGTGCACTGGTGGGGTCCCTCGGCCTGGCCTGCGCCCTCTCGCAATCCAGGACCCCTCAGGGGATGTCAGAGAGCCAGTTTCGGCCCGATCCCCGCAGGCCAGGCCTCTAGTGAATAAATAAAATAAATCTCTTCCACCAGAAGGCCACGGGACCTCTCCCAAGGGCCTTACAGGCCACTCCACACCCACGGCCTCATTTCCGAACCATTCACCTCACCTCACCTCACCCTTTCCTGCGCTCAACCCTTCCAATCTCCGCCCCAAACACACCACTTGGGTTCAGGGCCTGGTCTGTCTTCTCAGAAAGAACCCAGACCCTCCCATCTGTCCATAGCCTAGCGCGCCGTAACAGATCCCTTTCCACCCAATCCATCTCCCACCTGAGTCCCTCAGGGAGGAAAGAGCTGGACCCAAGACTCGGCACTGACTGAGCCAAGCACGGGGAGGTGCCTTGGTGGGTGAGGACCGTGGGGCCGGTATCTCCTCCTGCCGGTGCCCCCAGCATCCTCACCTTCCTGCCACGGGCGTCCGAGATGCTGTGCCGAGACACATCGACCAGTTCTCCCTCCAGCAGGACACCACTTCCCCTGGGATGAAAGGAGAAGGAGGGATCAGCTGGTTCTGCCAGGCGCCAGGAAAGAGCCCCAAGTTCCAGGCCCAGGTCAGAGTCTGCACCGGGACTGAGGCAACGCCCATGTCTATGAGCAGCCCCCCTTCTCCGTGCGTCCCACATGGGGCCTCCATTCCTCTGAGGGTCCCAAAGGCTGGGGTGCTCGCTGCTCAGGGGGTAGGAGGGAACCTTGTCAGGCTGCGAGACCAAACTACGGCCCCTCCTGCAGGGAGGACTGTAACCAGAGACTCAGTCTTCCTATCTACAAAATGGGAGAGTAACAGGCATCCCACTCTGCTTCTATGATGATGACATAAGATCATGTATGTGAAGCGTTTGGTAAACTAATCAGTGTTTAATAAGTATAAAGGATTTTACTTTTTTATTTAACCAAATTAGGAGGGGTGTCTAAGTTGCTATAAAGTATCTTTCCTGCCTTGGCTAGGTAGTTCGGTTGGTTAGACCCGTGGTCGGCAAACTGCGGCTCGAGAGCCACATGCGGCTCTTTGGCCCCTTGAGTGTGGCTCTTCCTAAGCCTTAGGAGTACCCTAATGAAGTTAATAACAATGTACCTACCTGTATAGTTTAAGTTTAAAAAATCTGGCTCTCCAAAGAAATTTCAATCGTTGTACTGTTGATATTTGGCTCTGTTGACTAATGAGTTTGCCAACCACTGGTGGACCAAGGTTGCAGGTTTGATCCCGGGTCAGGGCATATACTAGTATAAGGACCAATCACTCTAGCTGGTTTGGCTCAGTGGATAAGATCTTCGGCCTGCGGACTGAAGGGTCCCGGGTTCGATTCCAGTCAAGGGCACATGCCCGGGGTTGTGGGCTTGATCCCCAGTAGGGGGTGTGCAGGAGGCATCTGTTCACTGATTCTCTCATCATTGATGTTTCTGTCTCTCTCTCCCCTCTCCCTTCCTCTCTGAAATCAATAAAAATATATTTTAAAAAAAGAATCAACCAATGAATAAATAAGTGGAACAACAAATTGATGCTATTGCTTTCTCTCTCTCTTTTTTATTTTTTTAAAATATATTTTATTGATTTTTTTACAGAGAGGAAGGGAGAGGGATAGAGAGTTAGAAACATCGATGAGAGATAAACATCCATCAGCTGCCTCCAGCACACCCCCTACTGGGGATGTGCCCGCAACCAAGGTACATGTCCTTGACCAGAATCTAACCTGGGACCCCTCAGTCCACAGGCCAACGCTCTATCCACTGAGCCAAACCGTTTAGGGTTCTCTCTCTCTCTCTCTCTCTAATCAGTCAATAATTTAAAAAAAATAAAAATAAAAGCTTTCCCTTTTCACCGGTTTAAAGCACTCTCACATTCCTGTTCTCATGGCCACTTTGGAGGCAAAGAAGCCACAGTCCAGATCGCGGGGTTCCCACCGAGAGGAGCTGGACCCCACTTCCTGATCCCACTTTTCATAAAAGCAGAAGCTGTGGGTTTCCTATCCGGGAACCACAGAAATGGGAGAGGAGTGGGGGGTGCAAAACATGGCAACTGGCTGTACCCAAGTGCCCCTAACACCCCCTCAACCCTCAAAGGCCCATTGGTTCTCACAATCTCGGGGTCCCTCCCGGCAGGCCTGGCCCTCCCATCCCACATCCGCCCCACCCCTCGGGCCCGACAGCCGCTGGTGGTTCTCCCTCTGGACTCTGGATCCGGTGCAACCCGTGCCCGGGCCAGAAGGAAGGCACGGAAGCTGGCAAGTGGCTGCCAGGGGGTGGGGTGGAGACCAAGATCGTGAGAACCCAGCACCCACTTTTGAGCCATGTTTGGGGGTCGAGACCCAACCCTCTCCAAGAGTCTGGGGAGAGCAGGGGCGCTTTAAAGCGCTCGATCGGTGTCAGGGGGTGCGCCCCGCCTGCGGGCCAAGGGGGGCGCGGGAGGAGCGTTGGCACCGCCTGCTTTTCCTCCCACCGACCCCCGCCCAGGGGACCCCACCCGATCCAGGAGCCCCAGTTCAAAGCCGGCGGCGGGAGGCCCGGCGGAGGCGCGGGGAGGGGCGCGCGGGTTACCCCTGGTGGGCGGCGGGCTCCCAGGCGCCGGGCAGCTGTGCGCTCCGCACCGCCTTGTTCCGGAGCGCGCTGTCCTGGTAGATGCGGCTCATCCTGCCGGGGCCGGGCCGCTGTGCGGGGACCGGGACAGACGAGCAGAGGCTAGCGATTCCCGCTGCGGTTCCGGGAAGGCCGCGGCGCCGGGAGTTCCTGGGCGGGACCTAAAGGGGCCGAGCCTCATTCCTGCCCTGGGACCGTGCGCGCAGGGAGGGGACATCTGGGAAGACCCTGGGCTGGGGCCCGAGCGCTTCCTTCCTTTTTCTCTCCCTTTTCCTGTTTCTGGAGAGAGACCCCGGCCCCAACACACGCACAGAGGAGAAATGGAGGCCCCGAGATCCTATAGGATCAGCTCTGAAAGGACGGGTTTCCAGAGAACAGGAATGGAGAAAAGGGAAAAGCCCTTAGGGTGAGGGGGTGGGAGCGGTGGGGGGCGCCTGCTCTTCGGGCCCCGCCCCAGGTCCCACAATGGCTGAGGCTCCTAGGGTCTGCGATGCAGGAACCTAGGCTTGGGTTTCAGATCCGGGGCTCCCCGGGGGTTGGAGCCCCAGCTGTGCACCCCAGCTGTGCGCGCTTTGACAAGTTCCTCAATCTCGGAGCCTGTGATTCCTCCTCTGTAAAACGGGGTTAGGCCCCAGCCGGTTTGGCTCAGTGGATAGAGCCCCAAGCGCTGCGCACTGAAG